CAGCAAGAACGCGCCTTGGGTGTGGACTGGAGTTGGCTTTAATGAACAAGCTGGGAGGGGAGAAGCAGCTGGGTCAGCCTCGCGGTCTCCTTCAGAGCAGTGGTGGTTGACTGCGTTGGCTGTGCTGTCTGCCCAGAGGTCTCAAAACAGTGGAGAGGTGGATAAATATTATCCCTTCTTCACATGCGGGGAAAGAGAAGCACTGAGAGCCATGCAGTTTGCCCAAGGTCTTGTACAAAGTCCGTGGCAGGGCTGGGTAGGAAGCCGAGTATGCTTCTAGACCCGTGCATCCACCACGTGGTGCAGGTAGCGCGCAGCTTGTGTGCCTCGGTCTCCCTCGGGGATTATAGGTGCGAGCTGTAGCTCCTGCCTTGAGCTTGGGTCCTCAGCCTGAATGTGCTGCTGCTCAAAGCATTTGTGTGAGCAGCTTAGTGACTCCTGGTTTTTGTGTCCCCTCTCCTGTCTCTTTTACAGCTAAAACTGTGGAACAAGTACAGAGTCTCCAACATTCCCTCGCTGATATTTATAGATGCCGCCACCGGGAAGGTTGTGTGCAGAAATGGCCTCTTGGTAATCCGAGATGACCCAGAAGGTAAGACGTGGAGTGCAGCGGAGCACCGGCCAAGAGTCGGCTTGTATTTTGGCTCTTGCTCCACTGGATGCCTTGAAGCAAAAAAACAAGGGGGTGGTGAGACCTAGCAAATGCAAATGCCATGTTATTGCCAGCATGAAATCCCCGGCGTTCTTCCTGTGAGAGAGAGCTTTGGGTTTCTTTGTTTGAAAGAACCACGACTTCTCTTCCCAAATACCAGTGAGGACAGAGTTACATAAAATGAAACCCCAAAGTGCTTCACCGGTCGAGGGACTGAGACGGGCATAACGGTGTGGGCTGCCCCAACTGCTTCTCCGTCAGTGTAAACTCGGGAAGCAGAATGGATACGCAGCCCAGGATGGCTGCAGCCTGAGGGCAGAGCTCCCTGGGGACACCCCCTGGGCACACTTGACTCCCTGAATTTTGGGGCAGACCTGATTTATCTCTAATGGGCTTCTTGTGGGGGCATCTTTCTGCTGGCCTCTCCTCTCGTGGAGGGCCGTGTCCTGCATCTCGGGCGCAGGGAACATTATGTGGA